CGTCTGACAGCTTGACCAGTGTGTTGGTTTCATGACTATGTAAGTCGCAAAGATCTGACCATCTAGCTTGTATTTCCAAATCAGAACTTTGAGGGGAAAACTGCAGGGTCTGGGTTTTCTCAGTTATCCAGTTATTTCGGATATTTTTAAACAAATGCACAGTGTCATACATCAGAAAAGGGGGTCTTGAAGCATCTGAGGGACACTGCGCAATCCAAGGTGTTAGAGGATTGTTCTTGGGGAACATTGAAAAAAACGATTGGTTCACCCTATTGTTGTCATTAACAATACCCAAGACTTTTGCTCCACAGGCTTCAATACTTCTTATCACTTCATTCACGTGAGTGTATTGAAACAGGGCGGTGAGTGCATGGCAAGGAAGAAGTTTCGCGACAAAAGTCTTAGCACCAAAAAAGCATTTGACCATGATGCACAGGATAGTGTTGGCTTTTTTGTCTGGCACATCCACTGCATAGCCATATACAGTCCCACCGCGGTATGAAAGAGACGCTTTCACGTACACTTCATCCACAAGGAGTATACAATATCTGTTTCTCTCTTCCAGGTTGGTAAAATGTGAAGTAAATAGCATGGTATCAGACGTATTCTTTGCAATGCTGGTGACTCTCTGCAATGTAGAGACTGACGGTAACTGCAATGAATCTCTTAACTCCTGGTACAGACAGCGTGACCTTGCATACCATGAAAACGCAAGGATCAAATCTGCAACACTATACAGTCGCCCATTTCTTGGAGAGTTCAAAAGAACAATTTGTCTCATCAAAAATTCAAATTTCCTGTCACTTTTTTCTTCTGACCTTACAAAACGAAGTAATTCTGTGAGTTGACTCTCTCGACTGATTGATTTCAGGAAAGGGTGGTAGACTCTTTGGAGTGATCTGTATGATTCAAAAGAGATGGATACACCAGTAGAGGAACTAATAACTTGAAAATAGACTGAAAATTTTGGAATAGCACCAATTCTTTCTTTACTAAAGAATGCATACTGTGACAGTTCCTCATCGGATGCAACTATTCCATGTTTCCGGAGTATCGATGTGAACTGATAGTCGAAAGTATCGGCTTTGAACAGATCTTTTTCGTTAAAGGCGTTTAATTCATCAATATCCATAGCACGAGATTCAGATGTGGCCTTTGTAGTTGGTCGGGGCTTACTTCGGGATACACTGGGCACACACGATTTCGGCACTTGGAAAATTGTTGGAGGTAGGCCTACTGCTGGACGAGGACCTCTTCCAGTTGTATGTTCCATTTGTACATTTTCAGGCCAATGCAAGGCACAGACACCCATAAAATCAGTGACATCCTCTAACTTCAATTTATTAGGCAAACTCGCCACCCAGGCCTTGCGTTTCTCATTGTCTTTAGGAAATTTGTAGACTGCCACCTTCTGATCTCCAGGCTGATTTTTATATCCAGATCTACAATTGTACACAGAACATTTCCTCCACATGTTTACAAGTAAAATTAAGTTCGAATTATTTTCATTCTATGCACTCGAAATCTTCAAACATTTCCAAATCCTGTTTAGAGAAAGTAGATATGCGTGAAACAACAGAAAATACTACAGAAGGTCCTGAATAAAACAACAGGATCAAGTAAGTACGTCAAATGGTCACATAATTGACCGTTATCGCCACTTTTCAATGAAACTCTTAACTTAGGCAGCGTAGGAGCGTAGCTTGTCTATCTGGCAGATGTTCAGAAAACAATGCACAGCAAGAACTGTTGAAGGTGGTAACAACACAACACACAACACACAAAACGTACTTGGCGCCGTGTAAGGCAAATGGGTAGTCTCTTTGATTACTTCTTAATTAAACGGCGTCGATACCAGGCTCTTAAACTACAGACAAACAAGAGGTGTCGCGTGAGCGGTAATACAATTAAGTGATAATCGGATACCCGGCGCCAGACGAACACGCGCAGCGCTTTGCGAGGCAGCAAGATAAGAGAGGGGGGTCATCCTTTACCTGCGGCCTGGGGCCTGGACAGTCGGCCTCTATCTCTAAAGGGCTTGGCTTCGACTACATGGCATGATAGTATAAGAGCGTATAGAGCCAACCACACCAGAGCTCCCGCCAACCACCCACCAGTCTGGAATAGAGGTTTTCTCCTCAAGATTGAAAAGGATGTGGTGATCAGAAGAAACAAGAGTCTAACAACACTCACATTTGTTGACTGAACTTTTAATGTTTAGTCTAGACATGGAATTCCAATGCTGACAAATGACAACATTCACACTTCAGTTCTTCATCATATATGCATGCAGATCAAAAAGAAAACAAAAACAATACATTCTGTCATTGGTGAAACCAAGCTCCTTTCATTTTCATGACAACAACACCATCACATTCCTATTGATCAAGTAATCTGATTTTCTGATTTGTTTGTACTTTTATTGTCTTTATTAGTGAGGCAAACTGTGAGTATGAGGGCTTATTATTATCTTTCTACACTCAAGTCCAAGTATGATTTTTCTGTAGTTATCCATAACTTATAACAATTTGAACAATTTTTTTTTTTAAAGGGAGGATTATTTGGAGAGAAAAAAATCGTAGGCTATGTCAACACATTAACTTTTTTATGATTAACAAGTACAAGCAACCACAAAAATGATCAGCTTGTAAGATATATATAATATATAGCGAGAGAGGAATTGCTATACTATATCAGCTGTAACATCAGGTTATTTCTCTCTCACTACTTGTAAGTGTTGAAAAAGACTTCTTCCTTTGTCTTTCTCTTTATAGGTAGCATACATGCTGTGCGCAATTCGTTTTGCAGTCATCAGAGCGGGTAATTTAGGTGAAAGTATGACCATCAAGATCATATATATCGTCAATAAGCTGTTCAACTGCTCTAAGCCCACGAAGTAAATTTTTTACGGAAAGAGAAAAGATTGAATTCTTTTACAAATTGTACACATACAATATGTATCTTTTCTATCTTTTTCAACATTTATTTTGAAGAATTTCAACCAAATATTTCACCATATTGCTGGTTAAGAACAGTTTTTAAAAATCTATGAAAGTTTTGCGCTTAGTGCATTTGAACAGCTGGCCCACAGTATGTACAGTGGAGTCCACTTCAAGTATATTGGTACATGGAAAGAAGATAAAGTCCCTGATTTTTGTTTCTTCTTTGTCAGAAAGCTGGATTATTGAAATGCCCCTATTTATAAACCGAAATTAATTTTGAGGGTTTTGGTGTCTAAATCCCCACTAGCAACCCTCTAGACTCTAGTACCCAAATCCAAGTCAAAGTATGAGCTTCAAGACAGTGAAATAGAAGAAAGAGATGCACGCATTTGCGAGAATGAGAAAGCATGTGTATCGAATGAATCCAGCCAGAGAGGCATTGCTAGTGTTGTGTTTGCCTACGTGAATCGCACACATCAGTAAGCCCTACACACCGTGTATGGGCCTGTCATGAAGTAAGGTTAGAGACTGTATGTCTGTCACACGACCTTCCATTGGTCATGGACTATTGTCTCTGTGAAGATAGTTCATATAGGCCCTGTGCATGGGCACGTAATGGCACGTGGTGTGCTTCGTGATGTCACTGGCGTTGGGCTCTCTTTCTCATTCCTCCATCTCTACTCTTACATCTGTTCTGTGTAATTGTATGGCAGATTAAAAAGAAAGCACAGCGAGTACAGCCTGCCGCTCAAACTGCATTTACTGAAAGTGAAAGAGGAAGATGAGAAAAATAACTTCCAAAAAGTGAAATTTGCAACAAGAATAACATTCCCATCTCTACACAGTCGACAATCATCACTATTTGAGCTACACTCTATACCAGAAACCCGTTTAAACAAAATAAAATCTGGAGGTACGGCAGATTTGGGTTTAAGCAGACTCCACTGTATTAGAAATTATTAGTGTGTTCTGGACAAAACAATAATTCTGTGGGTTATAGTGTTATACTTAAAGAGCGATATATATAAATAATCTATATATTATTTCTTTGTGTTTGTAAATATTACAATAAGTATAAGCAGTTGATTTTTCCAATCATTTTTTTAAAGTGTGGGCGACAAGTTTAATGGCCTACGAGATATTTTTATAACATGATAATAAATGCACTAGAGTCATCCATGATGACAAAACTTCTCATGAAATTGTTCTAAACGAGCAATACCTGTGTTATTTTATAGTTGATTTTGTAACAGTGCAATTATTAACTTTTGTTATTGTAGGCTACTTTGTTGGAATTAAAAATATGAAAACCCCAAAAATGAAAGGATTTGTTGGGTTTTTCTTTACATTTGTGAGAATTCAACATTGATATATTTTGTCAATAAGGGTCAATGGTATGCTGGGAGAGCAATATGCTTTTAGTGTTATCATCAAGTATCCATTTTGAATACAAACATTTTAAGGACACTAAGACGGCCATTATGTTTCCGGTGGAAAAAAGGGAAACTTACCTGGAAAGAACAAAGGAAATGGAAAGACAAGACAACACAGTAGAGCAACAGCCTTTCGCCAGCTACAAGATCACAAGAAAATATGTGTGTGTGCCTGAAGAAAGGTACCCAAAGTCAGATTTTAAGCCATTATGAGTTAGGGGTTGTACCTAATAAGAACATTCAATGCTGAACACAGTGGTTTTTATAATTTTTTATATCTTAAGTACTTTTTGAGATTTTGCGAGGTAGGGCATAAAGTATAAAGATCTAATTTTGAAAAAATTAGCTTTTAAGTTTAGAACACGTAGCCTACAAACTAGAAAAAAAATAATGATTCAGTTGATTCTAATGTATTTATTCATGGAAAATTCATTTCCAATTGGGCATTTATTTGACATCAATATATCATAATTAGAATTCCATGGTAAAACATAGCGGGGAAGAGAAAACATGCTTCAAGAATAGATTTTATAACACCTTTTAAAAACAGTTTTCATTATCTACTTTATGACCTACCCTACCCTCAAAATAAAATATTTAGAAGTCAAATCAATGAAAACTCTTTTAACAGATTGTAAACAAACAATGGTGGAACTATCATTTTTTTAAGGAAACACAGTTTGGTCAAAAAAGTGATTTTTTGTCATAAATATCAGCTTGTAGCTCAAACTGGTCTGTGGCGACTTTTGGTACCTTTCTTTAGGCACACACACATATGGTAACCAAGTTATGTCACCTTCTTAAAAAAACAAAATCCCAAACCAGTAAAGACAGTTTATTTATAGTGGAAGGGTTTTATGAAACTCTGCCTTTATGAGCATGCAGATAAAATGTCTTGCATAGTAGTATTGGGTATGCCTCGCCTTGTCACAACTAGCCAAGTTGTCTCCATTCTTCAAAACACTTATGTTTTTTCTCTCACGAAAGATTGCAACTCAAAGCAGTTAGCTGCTTAACAAGATAATTTGATATGATGTATCTTAAATAAAATGCAAGCCTTTAAAACCGCATAGCAAAATAAATTCCTCCACCATGATTGAACATACTGTAACAAATTTGCAAACTATTTCTATAGATCTCAAACTTAAATGTCTTGCAGGAGAAATGAAAGGTCTGAGTCTGAGGCAGAAAACATTCTGGCAGTAAGTCCCACAGAAGCATGAATACCAAGCAAGAGACAAATTTAAAAAGATGGACACACTAGCCTTTTAAAAGATCTAACTTGTAAGAAAGTTTGTAGCTGCACAGTTGACAAAGAGCATTGCATAAGAGCTCCCCCCCAGTCCCTTTGTCCCTTGAGGTTGAGTTTACGCTTAACATTAACACAATGTCGACCAACACTAACAGCTTCTGATCTATTTCTCATAATATGAGTCCACTTTCGTCTTTTGTGTTTCTTCCAGAACATTTTTTTGCCCTCTTCAGTAAGTTACTTTTACATAGATACATGTACAGTAACATCCTAAACCACAGGTTTCAAGGAACTGGAAAATTTCTTTGTGTTAAGCTGATTTGGGGTAAAGGGAAGTTGCAATGATAGACTAAAGAGGGGGGAAAAAAGATGGATTTGAAATCCTTTCATGATGATAGTATTTTATGCTATAGAGCTTCATGTTCAACAAAGTCTATTGCAGTTTCTTGTAACTCCTTACATGTTATAAAACCCTCAGACTTTACATTCAAGCTGATTCCTAAAGCATCGATTAACCTTGAATCCACAACACAAAATGAAAATTGTATGTAAATTACCCTTTACAATTATCTTTAAATATCAGTAACATACAAAGAAGAAAGATTCCTACACAAAACCTTTGGCTGCTGTTGAATACAGACATCCATGAAGTATCAAAAATATGATAGACATGTGAAAATTGCACATCGAGTGATAGAAGAAGAATATAAACAAAGAGGGACATTAAGTTAATATTTTAAAATTAACTCCTAAACCATTTTACAACCTACAAGGCACACTTCCAACTCATCAGCTGGAGCAAATAATGATACACAGTGGAATCCATTCACATTTAAATACTTGGGCTCATAAATATGACTTCAAATGTACATAGGTTTAATACTTGGGCCAGTGATAGGTAAGCAAAAGTTGATTACAAGTATTTTCCTGCCCAGAAGGGTTCTTTTTCTACCGTTGTCTCACAACATAGCTCTTTGTTTTATCTTTTTAAAGTCATTCAACATGCAAATATTTTTTGTCCCTAAGAACTAAAGCTGCGATTAAACTACGGAAAATCCCAGCTCTGATCCTTATTGGTTTTTTAAAATTAACAGTAAGCCCAGATTTGTCAAATTTTGCTTTTATTTTCAACCTGTACTTGAATATTTGATATGTCAGAATTATCAACTAAGACTAAAACTTCAAAGTGCAAAAACAAGATAAATTTTGAACCTCAACTTAAAAAATAATTGGACATATATATGTTGTTGTGTTGTAAACAGTTATACAATGCCAGTATGTAAATGTTTGATACAACTGAATTCCACTGTATGTAACATGACAGTGTAGTGTAGGGGACTAGCTATTTAATGAAAAGCAAAGACAGGAATACGAGCCAAACAAATTTATACCCATGTCCATTTTCAAGCATTCCAGCAGTGAGAACATATCTAACCATTCACACTAACAGTAATAGACATCTAAACAAACAATTCGGATAAGCTGTTACTTGAATTGTCACCAGGACGGTAGGTAAACATGTTACACAAATCAACAGGAACTGTCACTAAGAACAGAAAATTTACAGGCTGAATCAAAAAACAATTTGCTATCAAGTCAGACCAATAAATCATCTACATAGTAGATAAGACAAAAACCTTGTGTCCGCATCTTATACAATTCCAGGCCTGGTCACACATACCCACTCGCAGAAAATTCAGAGCACCTAGAATAAAAATTAAAATCTTTTGGTGAGAGAAGTTTTTCATTTTCTGACCCTAAAATTTCAAACTCCTTGCCCCAGGACTAGAGAGAAACAAATCCTTATACCAGTACTTTTAAAGCGATTGCTTAAAATTCATTTATTAAAGTCTTAGGTGGAGTGTGTTAGTGGGTGCTGATATGTCTTGTTTTCACAACTGTCCTTATGAGTATATAACTCATTGAGTATATAACTCATTTATCACTGAGGAAATTCTTCCTTATAATATAGTGAGCGTTGAACTAGCTTTGTTGTTTACGAGAAATGTTTTTTCTTGTGTGAATGAGGTAAGTAATCATGTCATCAATGTAAAGCCTTCAGAGCTTATACTTGTATGTGATAGCATGCTAGGTAAATGGAATCTAATCTCATCATTATTATTATTAAGTAAGAGTAAAAGACAAAAATACAACAAGCTCCTGAGTCTCGGAGCAGTGAGCAAAGCAGAAGAGGCATTCGTTCTTCTCCATAGAAAATCTGAAAATCTAGTACTGGTAGAATACTTGAGTCTACACACAAAATCGAAGTAATGTGAACTGATTTCAACAAGTGTTGACTTGTAAGCGTAATTGTACTGCTATGAAAATGGTGAGTACGCCCAAGAGGATTAGAGAGATTCACTGCTCTGCTATTCCTCTTGATTCTACCAGTGTCTTACTTATTTACTCAGGATGATAATTGTAAGACTGTTGATTTATCAATCTGCATCTCTGTGACCCAATCTCTTTCAAACCAGAGACAGAAATAGATATCGTTTTCCTTTTCTTCAAGCGAATACAGCTGAAGTTTGAACAATACAATTTGCACTACCGCACCAGTAATTTCCGCTCTGAATAGAATAAGAGTTGCACATCAGATGTGGATGATCAACAAACATAATCTGGCCACCCTGGTTTTGATACAAACAGACACAAGGTTTTTGACCTGCACAAAGAGTCCATTCAGATGTCGTCACACAGCATTGCAATCAAAATTGTGGGTCAGAGACTAGCTAAATTTGCCAAAAATACCAGAGATACAACCCAAAAAGCAAAAAAAAACCTCCAACAAATTCTCAACTTTGGCGTGTCAAATCATGTCATGAGAAGTCTGGCACTTTCTTGGCTCCAAGTTTCATGGCTCCACTAGACTTTCTGGCTTCTCTCTTTTCCTGCAACTCTTTCTGTCTTTGCTGTCGTTTCTCTGCCTTTTCCCTCTTAAGTCTCTCAGCCTCTGTCTCTCCACCTCTGGAGCTGGTACCTGAAAGTGGTGGGAAAACAATTTTTAAATTACCGTACCCCAAACAAGAATTACAGTAGATCTACACTATTTAGACGGCTGAAAAATTCAGCGACCATTCCACCTGTGTGTTTCTCGTGTATAGGTTCTTTGCCATGGCAAGCTAAAAATATAAGTTCCATTCTAAAATGAGTAAGTTTTTAAAAATAAAGTTTAACCATAGGCCTATTTCTGATAGGATGTTGATTTCCAATCTGTGCAGGCTGGCTCTAACAACAGGTCAAGCAGTCCGACTCCTAAATTATCTAAATTCGGTTGATAGGAACATAAAACACTCACCATTAGGGACCAGTCTAAAACGAGATATAGTCCAAACCGACGGTCACATGTGTAAATGATTACCATGAAGTCTATTTTCAAACTATTCAAAATCATAACATTTCTTGAATCGTTTCTTCTTGCCTTTAAAAGTGCAATGAGCATCCAATAAAACTAGGTTTTGGGCTATAAACATGTAATACTTAATTTTTATAACTATTATACTATTAACAAACTTTTAACATCTTCAATTTCATTCCCTGATTCTTACATAAAGTCCCTCTCAAAGCGGCGGATAGCAATAGTTTTTAAAATTTCAAACAATGCCATCATAAAAAGCTCATGATCTGATCCATCACACCGGGCCTATATGTATAATTTATGAATTGAGAGATTTGCAGCCTCTCTACTGTCTGTTACAATTTGCACCAATCATGGCTTCAGAAGATGTAGAATAGAAGAATGATTACTGAGAAGTTGAATCCAATCAGTACACTATTTCTTTCATTGTTTTTTCGGTCCTTTATTGAGAAGTGTACGTCTAAAAGAAGTGACAGTGTATTTGTACGTCTAAATTATACAGTAAAAAAAAACCTCATCATATGACGAAAACGTGCGTTTAGGCGGAGACTACTGTACTACATCTCTGAACAAAAAGGATAATTCAAGAAGAACTGACATGAACAAAAACAGTATTTCCTGTGTCTCTGGGGAGCCTTTTATATATATATATATATATATATAATATATATACTGCAAAACTACATACAATACAGTATTGAAGCTTATGTGTTGTGAGATGCATTTCATGTCATTTATTCAGAAGATAATAATTAAAAACAAGAGGTATAATACCACCACCATCTAATAATAGAGGGATGAAGTAATTCCATCAACGGGAACAAGGGAGGATACTGTGACTGAAATCCCCATTGGGGCATTCTTAATTTTTAGGAGTCTGTGCGGCTCTTCATCCACTTGGCCACTCGAGATTGACAAGAATCTAGAGGTCCTGCCTCATAAATAGTAGGCCTATAACTGTTGAAACGGGCTTTAAACCCAAACAAAATGTATATTCGTAACACTTTGGTATCACAAGGCTCAAAGAGTAAAAACCCTTGTCATCAAAGGCAAAGGCATTAGGGGGAAAATCCAAAGAAACTGGGTGGTAAACATGGCTAATTGGCGAGATGTGGCGGCAAAGTGTTAATACTTTTTATAACTACACAGCTTAAGTTTCCATGCTCAAAATACATTGTTTGCCAACCAAATCGACAACATCCACCTCAATAAAAGTGTTGCTCACCTTCAAGACCACCCCACTCGTCACCTCCCCAGCCACCACCACTATCGTCATCCCAGCCGCTGGTTCCTCCTCCACTTCCTGTTGTGCCACTTCCTATTCCTTGAGTCGATGCGTCATCTCCCCAGCCCGCGTCCTCCCAGGCGCCAGTAGACGGCTTGCTGAGTTTGCGGGCCGATGAAGGGGCTGGAGAGGGAGATTTTCTTGCTGGACTAGATCTGGCCGGGGAATCCCTTGGAGGCGTCTGTCTCGGGGGTGTGTCGCGGGACGGAGTGCTGGATTTCGATCTTGGTTTTTTGGTACTCTACAAATATATATTACGTCAAATCATTCAGTATTCAACATTCGCTTGGAAAAATGAACAGTATTATCTTATTAAGACATTGCTTTTAAAACATTTTATTAGACTGCATATCAGTCGAGCCTTTCAAATGAGTATGTCAATTTAAAAAATAAATTAAACATTTTTTAAAGGAGAACGATTATTAAGAAGGTTGTACAGCTACAAGTTACACGAAGCATAGTTGCGACCACAATATATATTATCTAGAGCAATCCACTTAGGGCTAACAGTTATTCTGAAAACAGTAGTAAACCGAAAGAAAATAAAATCCCCGATACTTTTCCTTCTATTTAAGCGACCTCTCTAAACAAATACCTGTCTAAACCAAAGAAAATCCGACAGCCCTGCAGACTTCGATTAAAGCTGACTCCAATGTACACACATGATGTAGCCTACTTTAAAAAAGAGGTATGTTCAACAAATTGGGAACTACTGTGAGTTGAACAACTATGACCCCTCTTTGCCAGGAAGCAGAAAACAAAGGAGAACAGAAACAAAAACGTAGGAGGAACAGTTTAGCTCCCAACACCACCAACATTAACGCAGAGATTGTCTGGACAATACTAAGAATTAGAAGAAGCAAGTCTCCCAAGTCTTATTTTCCAATTTTTTTACTCACAAAAAAAAGAAAGGAAAGAAAAGGGAGAAAATGGGTTTGCAACTCCCCAGCTGGCACCTTTCTGAGGTCAAAGCAGCACCCATTCTGTATAGATTCTATTTTAACTACTTTATACATGGTATATTCTGCCCAGCAAGCCCCTATACCTATACGAAAAGTCGACTGAAAGTCTTTCAAGCTAGAAACAAACAATGAAACTTCCACAATGCGGAGCTTGTCTTCAACATAACTTCTCTACCTGTCTAGCTGGGTGTTCAACACTCATTATAAAAACCCTACATTTTGTTTCATAATTTGAATCCGCCTCAGAGAAAGACAAGCCTCCTAGAAAAAAACACTGGGAAAAAAACTCAGGACCGGTAGTTGTTGAATAATGCTACAAATTGGTAAACCGATTCTGGTATTCTCATAGCGCTAAAAACCACATACCACCACTGAGTTGAAGAAGTCACCACCTTGTTCATCTTCACCGCCCCAGTTGTACGAGCCAGTGGTAGGAAGACCTGAGCCCCTGGTAGAGACAAACTCATCCTCTTCAGGTTTTAGCTTTGTTCTGTCAAAAGGATCTGAGGGCTTTGCAGCAGGCTGAAAAAAAGTCAGGGCAAAAGGCTGGAAACAAAACCTATAGAGTAAATATCAATAGATCCCTTCTAACTTTATTTCTTAATTCATGGCAAAGATCCTGTCATTATACTTAGAAAAGAAATGATGCATGTATCTAAGTTTAACGCGTGAGTGAGTGAAAGAGAGAGAGGGGGGGGGAGAGAGGGGGGGGAGAGAGGGGGGGGAGAGAGAGAGGGGAGAGAGAGAGAGAGAGAGAGAGAGAGAGAGAGAGAGAGAGAGAGAGAGAGAGAGAAAGAGAGTGAGTGTGTATCTTTGTGAATATATATGCCAACACAGTCCTACAGTCCTCTCACTCCTCTCAGCACTAAACAGACACTGATGATATAGCCTTGAAAATATAAAATTTCATCCCCCACCCCCTTCAACCTTATCCCTTCTCCTCCTCCTCCATCCCCTCAGACTTTCAAAATTACAAAGATAAGACACAATGGAAAGGAAAAATAATTACCTTAGCTGAAAAACCAGTATCCTCCAAGCTTCCCCAATCCTCATCATCGTCCCATCCGCCACCATCAGCAGCACTGGTGATATTGTCTCCTTTGCTGGATTCCTACAGAGAGGAACAACAAACCAAACAGGGTCAAGTTTAGAAGAAACCTACACTAAGCTGGCACAGCAGCAGTTATATTCCAACTATAACTGACTAAGGCAACAATATTTAAGAAACGAGAAGCACATCCACGCAATAATGGTCATCTACGCCAGAGGAGATAACCCAGTGAACAGAGACAGGTGGAAAACCCTTCTTTGAGGCACATACTCTTCGTACCTAGTACTAGGGTGAAAGAGGGGAATTATGAAAGCAGAGAAAAAGCAAGACAGACAGACAGAAACAAAAAAGGGATAGTGAAGGAAACAAATGTACTGAAAATTCAGAAAAGAGAAAGGAGCAGACCATACAAAAAAAAAACCACCCACAGAAACCCCACTCTATTCTTTTCTATTATAATGGTGCCAACAAGCCTGTCAACAGTAAGATTTTTATATTTCAAGAACCTGGACCTCTGATCTAGCACACAAACTTAGACAGGATCAAGACCCGTGAGTACAAAGCCATGACAAGTGTTCTATTTGTTTTTGTTTTTGTATTTGTAAAGTGTTTTACGGCGCTCGCAACTGCATAGGTCATATGAGCGCGCGGGACACACCTAATATCTTCAGTTGGTAGGAAATTTTGAATTTTGCCCGGGTGGCGGCCGAAGCCTACTCTTATCGATTTTAGACCACCAAGGGATCTTTAACGTGCGCAACTTGCACACGGGCCCTCCGAGATTTTTCGCCCTTGTCCGAGAAGGCTAGGTGTAGATCTTTCCTACCAGAAGATCAGGGGTGTGGCAGAAAGACAGCAGTAAGGAGGAGCCAAGGAGTAGCAGTAGAAAGGCTGCAGAAAGAGTCAGGAGCCCAGAGGAGGGGGCAAAGGAGGTGAGGGGGTGGGGGCAGAAAATGGAATTGAAAGCAGACAACAGAACATTGCTAGAGAGCAGGAAAGGAGGTGAAAGGAGACAATTTTAGAGAAGAAAATTTTTCGGTTGCTACCCGGATTCGAACCCGGGACCTTTGAATGAGAGGCCAACACCTTAACCTCTAGGCCACGAGAGCCCCCCCAAGTGTTCTATGCAGGTCAAAATCTAAAAGTACAGTCAAACATGCCGTAACAGCCACCTGTCAAAAGCAATAACGAGAGCAAATGACCACTTCCTACTTGCCCAATTGAGTTTATTTTTCTACGCTATCATAATGACACCGTCCAAGGCATTAATCTGCCTAAAACGACCACTTTCCTCCTCGACAATGCGTGGCATTCTTGAACAATTTCCACAGTACTCACATCTAAATCTCCCCAGTCCTCAACATCATCCCAGCCACCGCCTTTAGGTTCATCATCATCACTCTTGGTTTCTGCATCATCATCATCATCATCAGCATCTTGATCTTGAAAGCCAAAGTCAGATTTCTTGCTTGTGGCAGAGAGTCCAGATGCCGCTGAGGGAGCACTGGGTGTGGACGACGATTTGGAAGCTGGTTGGTTTCCTGCACTTGATGTTTCAGGAGCTGTAATACAAAAAAAACAAAAAATTCACCACATAAGTTTAGAATAAGTTTGAAGGGTTTTTTAACTCACTCACTGCCAGGCATTTCTCGGCAGGATAACTGAGGAATGCCAGGCTTTCGGGACCATTCTCAAAACCTCACTGTGAGCTTATTATTTTGTGTACAGCACTGAACTTTTCCACAAACAATGATATTGAAACATACTCAACAAATCCCAAAAAAATTTTGTGATACCTTTACCGAGTGAAATTTAACGAGTTTCTGAATATGAGGCAAAATCGAGCAAAAAAACTTTTATATAACATTTAGGTGCTTGGTACATTCAGTCGATATGCATGCCTTTATATCTTTATCTCTGCAAGAAATAGATGTTGTATCAACTGACAAATGTTGAAAAGTCACTTTGAAAAGATATCTGACAAATTTTATATTACTGGAATATCATTTAAGTCATCAGTCCACTCATCTTGAGCATTAACATCAGGGTGTGTGGTTGCAGGACGGGGCACGGCCACTGGGAGAGGGGTGCCACTATTTGAAGTTAGTTGTGTAGACATAGGAGGGTCTATGTCAGCTGTATCTGTATTCCTATCATTTGGGGTCTAAATCTACGTTGTGTGATCTTTGACGTTTGCGTGACGGGCCTGAACTGGGACAGGGAAGCATCGGATCATAGGTCTGAGCATGGGGAACACCCGATTCTAGATCTAGGCCTAGATCTAGCACAATTTTCATCTTCACTTGTGTCCGCACCTCTCCTATACTCATTATCAACTCTGTATGATGGTTCATCATCACTATCATCTGCAAAAAGATCTAAATCTGACCCTTTATTGACGAATGGGTCCCTCAATTCAAATTTTCCGACCTCATCGCCATCGTAACTGAGCGTCAGTAGTTTTTAGTTCGTTTCGGGTGAGTTCGAAAAAGTCTGATTTTTAAGTAGCTTATTCAAGGGAAGTTACTGCAACAATGTGGAATCGAAACTAAACTGGCTTATGTCGCCTACTTCTGACTGCCAAGCCCGAAACGCGTCGGGGAATGTTTGAAAAATAGTAGTAAAAACGCACCCGACGGGTTTCGGGTTTGGCAGGCAGCCGTCTACGCGGATCACCCGACAGGGTTCGGGTATGGCAGTGAGTGAGTTACGGGAATGAATTCATCATCCAGACACAGACAGACTACGACCAAGATGGCGCACTTTGCTCAGAGGTAAGAGTAAAGATGAAGGCAAAAAAGCAGCAACTGTACAGCTCTAACAAAATATCACACAAGTAGGCTACACTTACCCGTAAGAATAGGGGGTGAGGTAGTGGAGCCAGGGGAGGGGACAGAATATTTAATTATCACACCCCTTCTCCTCCCTACCCCCCCCCCCCCCAAACCGCCACGACTTTGGTTTTAATTTTAGACTTTTACAGTCACAGTGAATGAAAAAAAAAAACCTCCACAAAAACCCCCCCAACACACACTGACCCTGATTCTGAAACAGAAACAAATTGGGCTGAAAAGAAGCATTAAACGCAACCAAAATTTAAACTAAAAGTGAGCAATATCAACAATATCAAGCACAGTTTACTTTTGGTAGCCCCTCCTTGAGGCTTTGGTGTGGACTTGTTATAGATCTTGGAGGTGAGAGAGGACATGCCAGTAACTGCCCAGCCCGCCCAGCCAGAGGATGCTGCACCCGATGTGTTGCCGGACATCACTTCTTTCTCTGTGGAATGGACGGCAGGTCATTTTTTAAAGTTCTTTTCTTCGACTGGTTGTAAATGGTCTATATATTAAACAAAACTACTCACGAAGCAGAGACCACATAAAGATTGTTGAAGCTTGAAGAGATGATAAATGAGATGGAAAAAAAAATGTGCACAATTGTTGTATTGCATAGCCTTGCAACACTGTAAAGTTACTTTAGAGCCGCAACATACAAATTTAATGTCTACCCATTTTCATTAGGACAGAGCCAAATGGGTAAATTCATGTAAAGAGCCTTTCCTAAGGACTAAACATCAAACCAAGCTGGGCCTTAAACCTGCATACCCGCTATCTCACAATTATCAGTACCGTTACCTAACCACTGGAATTCAGACGTAACAAGATATGAGACAAAAGTATTAACTAAAAAAAAACCTGAAAAGAATAATTATTTTGAGCTCGGGTGCCTGATGGGTCAGCAGGTAATTAGCAACATTTCATACAGAAAAAAATAATTACCTGTACAAACAACCACTTCCCACCCCCGTAATATTTTTTTCTATGTTATAATGACAATGTCCATTAGGAGACCACCTGCATAAGATGACCACATTTCTCCTTGACAATGAGTGGTCATCTTAGACAGGTTTAACTGTGCATTGAATTTTTTTTAGAAGGACCTCTACTACGACAGTATAAACTAACTTAACTAACTTAAACCTAAATAGCCTTTTTTTTCTGAAATCCTATGTCCATATTTGACAGCCGAAATTATAACCTATAACATGAGCAATTTAAAACAGATTATACTAAGAATGTGTGAACACTCCCTTTTACTTTTTTTAATACTCACCATATTCCTGCTCCAAATCAGGATCCTCAGAGACTTTTTCCAGCTTCGAAACAAATCCTTTGATAGTTTTGAAAGCCTGTGGGAGGGGAAAAATACCCAGTTACCACAAGAAGATATGGTTAGGTGCACCCTTCTAATCAAAATCTCTTACAAGCTACTTTCTAGTCTCCTAGACAGTAACAATGTACATTTTTCCATTTCTTGTCTCATGTTTCAAATGACGTTCCCCGATTGAGGTAAAAGTGGCCTTGACAGCACATCACAGGGGATGTGTGCAGAGAAGTCAGATCAGGCTAATCTTCTCCTCAAAATGTCTGTTGCAACTGGGGTAAAGGGATGTGCGGGGCTGACCTAGCCCGGGAGGTGAGGCTCTTTCCATCTTTTCTCAGTTGACATCTCTTTTCTTTGGATCTGATGCATCTCTCTTCAAATTCAGCAACTTTAGATCTTATTAATTTAAGGATCACACAAGGATGTCTTGAGCACCTTCTTCCCAGGTGGTATGGGAAATGTCACATTGCTTTAGGGATGCCTTCAACAAATCTCTGTTGCACTTTTCCTGTCTGCCAAGAAAGCATTTGCCAGAAATTTAAATCAACTCACCATAGCATAATCTATTTGGGAGGCGACAGTTGTCTGTCTATGCAGTGAATGTGACGAGCTCACTGAAGCTGGGAACACAGTAAGATGGGGTGGATGCCCTGCACCTCAGGCTATTGGGGCACCTCAGTGTCTGGAACTCTGTCTTGCCCCTTGTTTCAAAAGGAAACTGGGTAGAGAGCACTCTGATGTGGTCTGTTACAACTTTTTCATTTTATCTTCAAACCATATTAAAAGATAAAAAAGGAGGAAAAATGTGGATTTTAAAATTACAAATCAAGATCAGCAAGGCAAGTTTCAGGTGATACTATAACATCTCTCACCTGGTCTCTAACCCCTTTGTCAGGATCTCTTGTTATTGCACACAGGGCTGGCAGTAGACGCAGTGCTACCTCATTCAACTGATAGAAGTTCTGAGTGGCAGCAATACCCAAAATTCCTGCCTGTCTGGCAGGAGGGAACGGATCTTTCACCGCTCTCATGAAAGCTGAGCAAAGAATTTTCTGTCTCATCTGGGAAAAAGGGGAAAAAAATAATTTTTAAACAATAGAAAAAGAGAATCTTTTTTTAAGGTCAAATTAACAGGACACAAAGTATAAACTGTTATATAACCAAATAAAAATGTTATTACATTGAGGCACCCAATGCCACCCATCTCAGCCCCAAGGCAAACAGCAAAATCGATGTTAGTCTTCCACAGGAGCGCCATTCATATACTAAAAAACAGAATCCCTAATACATAAACAAATCTCTCTTGAAAAGTAAAAAGTAAAGAAATAAAACAAGAAAAGTTAAAACTTTTTCAAAATGTTTCATTTGAAACAAAATCTCGCACAACTAAGAGGAAATCCTTCCCTGCTCTTTATTTGTTCTCATATTCTTAATCAAATCTCAATTAGCTTTCAATACGTCTCTTGATGACAAAAAATCAAAACAGTAGTATAAGAAAAATGCAAGAATTAAAGGATGTTGAAGGGTAGCACCACAGGTCCACTGAGCGATACTTACAGCAGGATTGATGTAGCACGCAATCTTGCCCAGGCATACAGTCGTATTTGTTCTAATGCCACCCTGAATGAGAAGAACAAAACAGAAACAAGTTATCTGTTTGCCTTAAAAAAACAACGCATAGTTCACATTTTAAAAAATACTTGTAATCTTCTTGTCATATGAATACAAAGTGAGATTGAGCAAAGAACCGCTAGTAAGACTTTTCATTCATTGTTTGATGCAAAAACCCAATATCTACATTTCATTGTTAAAAAATACTTCAATTGAGAAGTCATAAAAGGTACAAGGAAAGAATGAATGGCAAAAGTAATAAGTGCACCAAAATATCCATCTTCAAATCTGCTCGACAAATAAAGTGAAGAGGGCTTCATCCTTCACACCCTTCAGAGTACTCAGAAATACAATGAAATATTTTTTTTTTCTGGTTATGTGATCAAAATACATTGTATGGTTGCTGCTTTCTAGAGCTTTAGTTTCTCTAACATAATTCCCTATTCTATATGAAACCCTTTTCATCAATGTCAATCCCGTGTTCTAATAAATCTTATTCCCCAGAGCTTATTTATTACACTCTTTAAAAATTACTAGTACTACTTGAAAAAAACCCAACCATCATACCAATTTCAAAGCTATCCTCAATTAAAGTAAGTCACATAAAGTTATTTATTGTTTGTTAACATTTACATATTAAAACAAAAGCCCTTCAAATTTACCTGGTCATCTTTGGCTTGAAGACGAGCAAACTGTTTCATGAGCTCCTCATTAAGGTTCTTGTAGTTTAGTTTTGGAGCCAAATGCAACATTGCCTGAAACAATGAACCATTGTAAAAGAAGTGCTTATAGAAAAAGTACACAAGGCGAAAAGCCTACTGATGACACTTCAAAAAGACAGACCAAGGAAAAGTCAATGTCAATCTGAGATGTAACATATGACAGACAAATCATTCATGGCATTGTAAGTCACGTTCAATCTAACTAATGTGCAAATAAGAAGGCAGAAATCAAATATGGACTGACCTACCTACACCGACAAAGTTAAAATATTATAGATCTGACCCATATAAAGGCTCTTTAAATTGAAAAAAAAAAAACCCTGTCAAAGCAGCAAAATACAGTTGCTGATAGTTTCTCCTTCCCAGACAAAAACTACATACTGTGGAAAAAAAAAGATTGTGGAAAAATAAAGATAAATTTAAATGAAACTGTATAAAAGCTGTAAAAACATAATCTGCACTCACAACATCCACCTAACATTAACACCACATAACTCAGCCATGAAGAACCAGGTTGTACGAATTAAAAATCAGACAAATGATCTAGGAAATATGACATTGAAATCTGGACCCCGAATTTTAAGAATTTCAAATTTGCACAAACTAAATTGAAGAATAATCTATTAACATTTCTTCCTCCTATCTGTAGCTAAAAGACCTTGAAGTCTACAACATTACCTTGATTGTACTCTCCCTGACCATAGGGTTTGTGTCCATGAAGCCACTGTTAACATGGGGGAAGATCTGGTCGTTGACAGTGCCCGGCTGTAGGTGCTCCACAAAGAACTCAATCTGCAGGGAAACATTGACAGGAAATTGATCATTATTGTAGCCCTCATTTTAAGAGCAGATTTAAAAAATGGAGGGATAAGTGTCACTGTAGAAAGATGGCTTTCAAGTTACTATTTCAAACAGAAGTCTAATAAGACCAACAGGTAGGTTTTATTCTACATTCAATACAGCATGGTTTACAGTATGATCGGCAAGAAAAACAGACAAAACAGTGAACACGAATCATGAGCAATGAAACATCAAAGAGATACACAAACAAGTTATTTATGACAGTCACTGAACACAAATGACCTAATAAAGTCAATGATTACCGAGTCAGAATAATCACAGCAATTTGTCACTATGAACACACAAAGACAAAAAAAGCACTAAAAAGAAGTAGAAGATGCTGACAACAGAAGGGCGTTTATCACCCATCAGCATTGGATCAAAAATAAATCATACCTGTTGCAGCAGTTTGACCCTAGTAGCTCTGTCCGGTGAGGAGAACAGTTTGACAACACAAGGGACAATCTTTTTCTGGTACTCCTCTGTGTCCAAGTGTTTTCCAATCTGAGATTTTAAAAAATATTATTTTTGAATATAAGTCCTAAAAATGACTGACACTTTTTTTTTTAAAGTTCCTTGAACACAATAGAAGCTCCTCCTGTCAAAGTGTTTCTAAATCTGTAATAAGAAACATTGTTCAAAATTTAAAGAAAGGCAAAACAATTTTCCAGTTGTACATACAAAATGCTAGCTCCTCGAGGTTGTCCAAATTAAATTCAGCCTTAGTTACAGAACAGCAAAGTCAAGAGTTAAATGTAGAAATAAAACTTAGATTTAACTTTCTTAGCTCAAGATTTGTACAACAAACTATCAAAGCACCATTGCATCCTTTGATTCGCATCATGACCATCGGGAAGGTAACGACTGGACAAAAGATATAAAAGTACCTCTCACTTCGTCTTTTCCCCGAGAACAACGTTCTGACAAAGTGTGCTGTCTAACTGACTCGTGTTGTGTTGAAATGATGTACAGCACAGTTATTGTCTTAGGAAGCCATTCACTGTATTTCACAACATTCTTTTACTCTGTTTCTAATAAGTGTTACCATGTCATGTTTTGAGGTCAGGAAAGGGAGAATGTGATGTATATTTTGTGTCACAAACTGAGGAAAGCACATTGTCAATTCCTTCCGATCAAGGCCCCAAAAACTACAATCAAAATTGTCCAAGACAACTTTGCACTGTCGAAGAGAAAAGTGGCTGCCTCAGACAGGTGGACATCTTGGACAGTGTCATTATGTTTTAAAAACCGAAAGGGTGAAACGGGAAGCGTTCATTTGTACATATGATTGTCTGCGACAGATGGCTAATAGAAGTTCGACTGAATATCTTATCCTGTGGCTTATTCATTTTCTGTGGCTCATGAGCTCAGTGTTGGTTCCTCTTACTCACCTTAAACATAGGAGCTAATACTGATGAGCCAGCATTCCCATACTCAAAGGCATTGAGAAGCTGAGGCAAAATCTTGTTGCGACAGAATGCGGACGGAAATGAGTCGAGAGATGGAGTCAAACTGGCAAAGAATTTATTCTTCTCTGCCTGGTCTTTGATCTGGTAAATAGAGAAGAAAGAAACAGAAGGTCATCTTTGTCATCATCCATTTAACTCCTACCATCTTAATCATCACGTTAAATAAATATTTCCAGGACCTTAAAACATGTACAATCAGAATACTATCGAATTACTGTCAGAATACTGATTATGCACCAAGCTTAAATATTATTGCTAACAATAATTAATTGTTTATTGATATCATATGCATGTGACTGCGGGTCTGTTTGTGAGTGTAAGAGTATATTAGGTGTGTGCGTATGTACATATGTATATAAAAGAAAAGATGTGTGAAAGAGCGTGTGTGTGCGTGTGAGTGCATTCGTGTGCGCATGTGTGTGTGTGTGTGTATGAGGGTGTGTATGAGTGCGCATGTGTGTATGTCTATGTGTTATGTGATGAAACATCAAACCACCAATATGTCAAAGTCAGGACAATAAAGATTCATCTTAACTTATCTAAAATGAAATGATTTTTGTTTCAGTAAAAGTTTTGCGACACTTGCAACACAATAAGGTCATATAAGTGCCGAAGATTAGAGGTGTTAAAAAAGAGTAAAAATCACACCAAAAAAAGAAGGAGCGGAGAAAAAGAGGATAGATGTTTGATAGGAAAGAAGGAGCAAACTACACCTGAGCACCCTCCAGCCACCCACAATGAGATAACATCAGAAAGAAAAATGTAAAACAGGATATAGCAGGATGAAATATGACAAGATGACATGAAAAGCTATCACCGGAGATAACTTTTATTTTAGTTTTAGGAATTACTCTTCTGCTTACAACAAATGAAATCCCACATTCTCTTTCCTTGCATGAGTATGTATGCAAACACAAGGGAATACAAATTGTAGAGGGAGTTCACATTAATTATAAGGGAAACATATCGATGAAATATAAGCTCAAAATAGAAGAAACAAATTTTGTCAAACAAATAAGAAACACATCAGAAGCATTTACATGCAAAAATAATTAAAGAAATACTCCCATTACAACAACAACAAAAAATGACATTAACAATAGTCTACATAATGTAAAGTTCATGATGATCTACTTAAACATTAGCAGAATCGATGATCATACCTGAATTTCCTCCAGAAACAACATGGAGTCAACGAAGGTGTTATGCATAAAACCTCCGCGCTGTCTGCAGCTTTCTATGAACTTTGCAGGATTAGGCCTGGACCTGGGATTTGCTCCAACCAACTCACAGTAATTTGGGATGAGGCTCTGGGGGATCTATCATGAGAAACAAATGAAAATTGCATTTTCCAAAAGACAATTCACTCATTTACAAACACAACTTAAAAATAGAATAATGTGAAGATCTGAGGCAAAATACATTGACTCTTCGGGCACAATACCAGGCTTTATAGTACACATTTCCTAGAAAAAAATATTTATTTGTTTTTTGGACAGTACTTACTAATTTAAGCATGATCTGTAATAATTTCAAGAATGAAGGGTTATATGTCTAAGGTCCCTAAAGAAAGTGGACAGAGAGCCTTGAAAATTCCCCAAATAACCGAAGTTCAAAAATGTCATGTTGGGAGTTTTAAACTGCAGACATCGGCATTAAAGTATGGCACAATATCAGTAGAGCTAAAGGAGCATCCACAGACTTCTTACTTACAGTTTGCAACAAAAGGACCTGAGTGCTAAATATTACCTTAATAGGATCCGCAAGGATACCCCACCCGACTGCCCGTTGTGCGACTGCCAGGATGAAACAGTACCCCACCACCTCTTTAACTGCCCTGCACTTTGTGACCTGCGTAGCACCTACCTACCTGCCTCCCCAGACATCGGAAACACTCTATACAGCGACAAAGCACAGCTGATTAAAACCTGTCAATTCTTTGCCATATCGACAGACCGAAGGGCTAGAACCCAAATGGCCGCTGGATCGGAAAAGTAAAGTAAAGTAAAGTAAAGTGCTAAATATCATTCCGTTTCAAAACTAAATCCATAGCAGAATAAAACTAGGTCCCATTGTCACGTAAGAGCATTTCCTCAAGGTTGGTAAGTAGCCACTGATAAAAGGCAGAGGGCTATAAATGTCTCTTCAAATACACTCTTCCGTGAAGAAGGTAATATCAAACATTTGCTGAAAGCTACAAACACTTACAAGCAACTAAGAAAATCTGCTCTGATATGCACTCACCTTCCCAGGTGACTTGAGAGCTGCAGTGCGAGGTAAACTCTCATTGAAAACTTCCCAAATCAAACATCCCAGACCCCACATATCAGCAGACCTGTAACATAAAAAAATAAAAACCATAATAAAAAATGTGCATTGCCTATATTTTCACAATATTATAAATGACTCTGCCCAGTACATACTATGAATTAAAAATACAATCAAACACATGACAAACAGTTTAACTCTTAGAAGTCTGCAAGTATAAAGATGATACATTCTTTAAAAAATCCCAATTCATCATAATCATTCTGCACCTGGCAAATCCACATTTTTTTTTCTTGAACACTGTGGTGGGTAATACATGCATGTTATTTGAAACCTATTTTTTTATGCTGAAAATGTTAAACTTTCACTTATTTCAAACTAAATTTGCTGTGAAAAAGCAGGGAACAAGCTTACGGCTTGTAAGAGTTAATAGAACAAAGAAGCATTGAAAAATAAGCCAGGTAAAGGCAAATTTCTGTTTCAGACCTGTCATTGGAAGAATAAGAATAAAAACAAAAAGAAAAGCTTTCAAGCTGAACAATAACAAAACATGAACTTACCACTTCTCTGATTTTACTTTCCGGCCCTCTGTCTTTTCAGGTGAGTCATATCTTTCCAGCAAAGGCAATATCTTCATGGGTGGGACACTGTCAGGCCCCTGCGCTGGGTACATATAGTCCACCCCACCCAGCTTCCACTCTCCTGCAGGATCCACAAATATCGATGCCATGCACACATTGTTGTGGATGAGACTGCAGTCGTTGACTAGAAAAGACAGACCTTTCTGAAAAAGAAAGTAAAGAAATCAGAAAATTAAATATGATTACCACCTTTTAGCATCATCGGGTCAAATCTTATAATTTTGTTCCTTCTGTAAATATGACATTTTACATAAATGTCTTCGAACATAGAAGGCCAGAGACTGTTAAACAGATTCAAAATATAGATTTTTAAGAAGTGTCTATATTTCCAATCATCAATTTTAATAATCTGTAACACTTTTCGCACTACATAAGAACCTTTTACAGTCTGAATAACCAGCAGATATATTTTCCATCCCTGCTTGTTCACCAGTCAGCTCAGTGCATGCATTATAATCATATGTTCCACTTAACATTATGATAAACAGAAAGTCACAGCAACAGTATCGCAAATGCACAAGACCTTCAGCACTTACCACAACCTGGTGGAGACCCCAAGATATGGCCACTTCATTGTGGCCTTCACTGTCATGGTCTCTTAGGTAAGTCTCTAGAGGTATCACAGGTTCTGTGGCGAAGTAGATGACCTTATCTGTCTGTACAATAAACAATTATATTAAGATTCTAATTTCAAAGAAGGAGCCTAAACTTACAAAATACAAATGCCAGAGACAAAATGGTAAGAATTCACACAGATCAATTAACAACGTAATATCTTAAATTAGTTTCACCACCCCTGACTGAAGTTGACTTGTAGTTCTATGACCAAGGAAAATCTTAAAGTCATCATGTTGACCTGACAGTACATTTATATAAATTTCACAGGAAACATCCATTTTTAACACGAGTCTCAATGATCAAGATTATTAAAAGCATTGCATTAAATAAATAACATTTTTTAAACCAAATGTAATTTTATAGAAACTTTCAGTATCTATTCCATAAAGAATGGAATGACAACATTTGAAAAAGAATTTATGGACATAGGATCGGAAAATTAAATTTTTTCCATTAGTACGTCTCTTTTCTGCCCACAAGAATCCAAAAAGATTTGACATAATTTTGACCAATGAAAAGCTGCAAGATAATATCATTTTTTAAAATATATTCATCCTTACTTCCACTCCATCCAGGAAAGTTAAAATGTTGGGATGGCGCAGGGTTTTGATTCTCTTCAAAGAAGATTTTGCAGTCTGGACCTGGGTATCACTTGCTCCCTTAACATCAAAAGCAAAAATAGAAACAGGATCTCCGGTACTCTGAGGACAAAATAAAAGTGAAAAGTCAAACGATGAAAAGAAAGGATTTAAAAATTGGCTTCAACAAGTATTGCCCATTTGCTTCATAAACGGAAACTGATTTATTATCCCAAGCTCACAAATCCCTTAGAATGAAATCAATATAAAAATACTGAGTGTCATCAAATGTGCATTGTGTCATCTTTTTACACACCAAAAGTCCCGATTCGGCTGCAAATTATGGAATTTGAGTTGTAGGCATTTTTAGCTTCCTCAGCCTCTCCTATAACTATTTCATTGCATAAGAACCCCCAAAAGCCTTATTTCTTACCATACCGGCAAGTTTGTCACCACCATTTCCTCACAAAGTCAATATTTTATTTTTCTTAATTGGTCGTTTTTCTCAAAACGCGATTTTTCTCTATACCTTTTTAAATAACTCCACCATTTTTCATCCAACCTTCATGAAATTTTCACAGAATGAAGAAAAGATATAATACTAAAAATGTATGCGTTAAAATTTTGATATACGGAATAGATTTTTGTTGGTGGTGTCCGGAGTGTGGATTTTTACGGACTTTTGCAAATTTGAATACTACCTCAGGAAAAAATTCATTAAAAATTTTCCAATTCGTTTATGAAAAAATCAACAGACAAATTTTTAGTTCTAATGTTTGCTAACATGCATGCAAAAAAACAATCACCTTCCAAGATAAATAAGTACGGTTTTCATTATGTAAGACATGTCAACAAAATCCAACATGGCCGTCATATCCATGGATACTAAACTTTTTTCTCAAACTCGATTGCGGATTTTAAGACTCCTTACTATGATGCTTGTCATAAGTGTGAAATTCGGTCCACTAATATAGAGATATAGCCTTCAGGTGTAGCCACCCCCCCCACAACTTAGGAAGAATCTCCACAGTGCCACGTTAAACTGATGGTCTGTACAGGCCAAAGCTTTTAGATATATAATATATATAAAATATATATATATAATATAATATACAAACAGTCAAACCTATGTAAAACGAAATATCACGGGAGCCAGAAAAAAAATTCGTCTCAGACAGGGGAATTTAGTGGTGTGATTGGGGAGGGGGTTCAAAGGCCCAGCCAGTGGGATCAAGGGTAGCTTGTCTGGTCGGCAAGCAATCACGAGTGGTCAAAACTTCACACCTCTCAGCTGTTATCCTCTCTGATAAAGATATTCAGTCTTATTTATCCAATTACCACCCTTAGCCCAACCCATCGGCGTAATAAGTAGTCAGCCAATGCCACATCTCACTGTCCTGTAACAACGATTCAAGGAACTCTTTTCTCGGCTGGCTGTACAATCAGGGCGGCAGGCATTGGTCAAACTAATTTCACACCTCTGGCCTCTGGCTACCAATGAAAATTTCGGTGCTGGAGCACAACTCGAGCACTTTCACTGGCACTCGTGAGATTTCACACCCACACCACCCCTAACCATCTTCATCGTTCAGGGCTCACATAGATGGGGTAACATCTACCCTCAAATTGCACCCCTACTCCCCTTCCTCACCCAGCGACATGGTGTTGAGTTTAGAGTCGGGGGACGGAACCAAGCTTGCGAGTTTTGTTTCAAATCAGGGCTGAACGAGCAAAGTATTTTCCGTTTAAGACAGGTAAAACCCTCGGAAGGGAGCAAAATTTTCTTTCCGTTTCTGCATTGGACAGGTTTCCGTTTTACACAGGTAATTAAAAGAGGAATATATCAAGGGAGGAGTGGGGAGATTCTGTGATTCCGTTAAGACAGGTTCGACTGAATATATATATATATATTTATATATTATAAAATATAAGCAAGACTGCTCACTTTTCTGTGTTGCGAGAAAACACTCTGAGTCAGAGTGGTGTGGGTGAGAAATCTCCCCACTGCTTGATATTACAGTGTTTGAGTGGCATTCTAGCATGGAAACTTTCTTGGGTAGCCAGACGTGTGAGAGATGAATTTGAACAAAACCTACCATCCTAACCATACATCAATTCACTGTTATAACAATATTCACTGAGAAGGGAATGAAAGGCTTTTATAAATAAATATGTCATTTAATAGGTGGGGTTGAGGGTGGAAACAAGGATTATAAATGTTCTAGTGTCAATCATTTATTTCTCAGTTTTTAAAAGGTAGGGAGGAATTCCGTATTTAGAGCTACGACTAAGAAACAGTAGAATAGAGGGTTAGGTTTAGGGTTAGTTAGTGGTAGGGGTAGGGGTAAGGGTGGGGGTTGGGTTAGTAGGGGTTAGGTCAGGGTTGGGTTAGGTCTCTTCTTAAATTGTGTTTGTTGGGGTTGTCGCTCGTTTACAAAGGAAGTCCTTCTAAATGGCCAAACAGTGGTCCTGTGAAATGCAACCACTTACTAAAATGGTATTATAAGTAAGAATGATGGCATACCATTATCAGAGAGGCTACCACAGTACTTGGGAGGAGTGTGTGGAGTTGAGGTTTGACAACTGCTCGCCAACCGGACAGGCGACCGATGAAACTATCTTTGAATCTTGAACACCCCCTCCCCCTAACCTAAATCCCCCTGTCCAAGACAGAAAATGACTCAGATGAAATTTTTTTCTGGATCCCTCTATCAATTCCATGGGAGAAGCTTGACTGTAATTTTAACTCTCTCTAATAATAGGGTCTCTTCTTGTCATTCTACTCTAGATCCATGCCTAACTTTCGAGCCGACAAGTCATCACACATTCGGCTGTAAAACGACCCACCTGCCTGAAAGGCTGCTAATTTTAGTAATGTGATGTCATCACATTCTGGGATACCCATAGACTACTTTTAGAAGGCCATGGTGATACCGCATGAAATGACATGTTGGGTCAGGGCTTGACCTGTTATCCGTTTCGATGTGTTTCGAACGTGAAAATTTCACACTGGGACAGGATGGAAGATTGCTTTTAGATCATTGATGCTCAAAATCAGTAAGAACGCTGTTGCTTGAACTTGAAATTGAAACACAGTAAACGCAAAGACAAATAGGGCCTAAAGCGTACAAAAATAGCCGTAAGGAGGCCAGAAGATCCCCCCCCCCCCCTGGGTCCGATAAACAATGCGCAGAAGAGAAAGCAGCAGCATCATCAGAGCACCACGTCATATACATTAGGCCTGCCGGTATTCCTGGAAAAACATTGCACCAAAGCCTCATGCCATCAAAGATCTCTTGTAGAATCTTTGGTGTCATGCGTTTGACTATATTTAGATGTAGGCACCTGATTGGAGAGATATCTCAGTCTGACGTCACACAAGATGGCCTCCTTCCTTCAAAATGGTTTGCGACGTTCTACATTTAGTTGCACGTAGTCGTCACTTACAGAGTAACATGCGATGAAACGTAGAACGACGCAAACTATTTTTAGGTAAGGCGGCCATCTTGTTCGATGTCAGACCAGGATATACCCCTCCGATCACGTGACCACATCTAAGTATATATATAGCTAACCGCATGGCACCAAAGATGGTAAGTGTCATGTATATCAAGTTTAATCTAGAATCTACCTCTCGCTGTTGGAAGTTCTGATGGCCGAATGGACAGCACGTCTGCGTTTGAAGTCATGTAATTATTTTATGAGCGGTTCGATCACGGTCCCGGAAGGTTTTTTTTTTCTCTTTTCCTCCACCTGACTGACCAACA